GGAGAAGAAAGGCGTGCCGTGCCCCCAGCCGCAAATGCTTTCCAGCTCCCCGTGAGGTTTCCAGACCTCCTGCACGTGTACCTCCTCTGGGCTGCTGTTTGTTTATGACAGCGAAAGCTGCTTCTCAGTAAAGTAAGAGCTGGAGTGCCCGGCAAAACAGAAGGTTTTCAAAGTGCAAAACAAGTCCCCCCCGGCAGCCCCTCCCTGGGACCCCCAGCCACAGGGGCCCAAGATGCTCAGCCCCACTGGAGATGGGGGCAGGAGCAGAGCAGGCAGGAGGGGCACCCAGTGGGGTGGCATGTGGTGGCTCCTGCAGGGACGGGAGCTCAGGAGCAGCTCTGGAAAGATGATTTCTTGCTCAAAGCCATGGAAAAGGTATGAAGGCTGAGAGATTATCTTTGTTGCTACTGAAGTCATGCTCAAAAATGAAACTCTTGAGAAACATCCCTATAGCAGCATAACCCCATGTGTATGTACTGATAACTTCATTACAAGGGCAAAACCTTTGCTTGCCTGTTTGTGTTTTACCCACCAAATGGAGCTCTACCCAGCTGATTTCAGCTTGCTTTTCACATTCTCGAAAGCCAGGGCTGCTTCAAAATATCTTCAGAAAAACATCTTCCCCTTCCTCTTTCTCATCAGCATGAGACCATTTCTACCCCCTTAAATAGCAGTCCCATTTGAGAAGTGACTCTGAGACAGCACGTGGTGAGTTTCTGTTCCCCATCACAGTGCAGCAGCTCTGGCAGAGACACCTCACCCCATTTATATTCAGATTGTGCTCTGAAATGCTGCTCAGACACTGGAATAACCCAGTCTGCAGTGGACAATACATGGAAGAACATCCTCCAGATAAGCAGACAGTAATCTGGTGACTGGATAGTGTCCAGTCAAGGTGACTGGGTGGACGCATACTTGTGTCTGGACTTTGTAATCACCAGGGTCAGCAGCTGAGACATGCAAAAAACACGGAATGGATTTACTGCCTAATGTTCACTGGTTTTGTAATGCTTTAATAGATTAAAGACTATAGCAACATGCCTCCTTCCAGAACCTCTCTGGCCACAACCATGACACAGGACAGCAGGCTGGCTTCCAACAAGTGTGGCCACAGCAGCACTAACTCCATGAAAAGCACTGATGTCAAAACACCAGCAATCTTTAGTTCTGGCAGCCACAGCACTGGGAAGACAGGTGGGTGCGTGTCTGGTGGTGTTTCTTGACCCATTAGTCCTCTGTCAGCCTTTCACAGCAGCATGCTGTCGAGAAGAGGGTGCAAGACCATTCTTGACATTCTTCTCTGAGTAAGGCACAGAGTAAACAGTGGAATTAGTGAGAATTTCCTTGAAGGAGTGGTTTCCTTGGCATTTGGAACTGCAGCTTAGTCCTGCTCCACCAGGAAACCTGGACTTCCATTGGAAAGTAAAATTTAACTGGCAAATGCTACACCTAAGTAAGATTAAACGATTTTTAGTACTTGCCTCCCCTTGACAGCTATCCAAATCCCCTAAAGGCAGCTTCCACCCCATCGTTTGGTCATCAGTTTGAAGCTGTATTCTGCTCTGAGGCAAATCAGGCAGGCACTTCAGAAGGAGCAAGACCAGAGCCTAGTGTTACATCATACTCATCAATGCCACCCCTGCCTTGCCTGCCCTGCAGGGGATTCTCTCCTCAGAGCAAATGCCAGTACCCTTTCTGCTGCTGTGCATCATGTTTGCTCCAAACACCACCCCTCTCTCACATGGTTTATTTTCAGACCCACAGAGGGGAAGTTGGTTTGGAAATACAGACACATTTAAAAAATACTCAAGTACACAATCTTTGTACACTTTGCTTCTCACTCAGACAACCAAAGTTTATCCACAAAAAGGAATGGACTAGAATATCCAAGTTTGGTTGTGGTTTGTTTTTTTATTTTAAAGCTTCTGTTGATAATTTAGTTACTGTGTATTAGCCCAGTTCTGCAGAGGTCCCTGATCTCCCCCACAACTCGCAGGGAAGGAGAGGGCAAAGGGAGCTGCCACAGAACAGCAGAAACCATTCACACCCAGAGGTATTTGGACTGGTTAAGGTTCTGAAGAAAACTGAGCTTAACCCGATTTTAATTTGTAGTAAATTTACTTCATGCTATCCCTTCACGTCCAATTTGAAAAGCAGTCAAATGGGGAAAAATAATATGAGGGGTTATTTTCCAAAGCAGCTCCTTGGTAGAAGCTGCTTCCACCTAATAAAAATAGCACAGTAATGATTGCAGTAGGGAGACCACCTAACAAACAGTAATAAATAGTTCAATCTGTGACTTAGGAAAGGCTTCCCGCAAATGCCATGGAGAAAACTCTTTCCATTCTCAAAAAATTACTTTTTTCCTCCTCAGCCAGGTCGTCAGAGATACAAATTAAGAGAAACTCTGTGAGCAGCCTTGCCTGCCAGCAGTGCTGATGGGGAGAGGCAGAGGGCTGTTCACAAGGCTCCAAGGCTGACCTTTGACCCTCAGCAGCGCTGTTATTTCTTAAACACTTGTTTTGAAGAGGAGAGCACAGAAGAGACTGCTGGGTTCAGCTACAGCAGTCATTTTTCTCCTTCTTAGTGCAATGCTGTGCTTTTGACTTTCAGCCTGGGAACAACGCTGATAACACCGATGGTTTTAGTTGTTGCTCAGTAATGTTTACTCTGACCAAGGACTTTCTCAGTCTCATGCTCTGCCAGGGAGGAGGGGAAGCCAGGAGGAAGCAGAGACAGGACACCTGACCCAAACTGGCCAAAGGGGTATTCCATACCACAGCACGTCATGCCCAGGATAGAAACTGGGGGGAGTTACCCGGAAGGCCCAGATCGCTGCTCGGGTCGGGCTGGGTATTGGTCGGCGGGTGGTGAGCGGTTGTGTCCTCTCCCCTTGTTATTCCTCTTCTCATTATTATTATTACTGGTAGCAGCAGTGGTTTGTATTATACCTTAGTTACTGGCCTGCTCTTACCTCAACCTGTGGGAGTTACATTCTTTTGATTCTCCTCCCCATCCCTCCAGGAGCAGGAAGAAGGAGGGGAGTGAGTGAGTGGCTGTGTGGTTCTGAGCTACTAGCTGGGCTTAAACCATGACAGAGAGTTAAAAAACATGGGGTAAAAGTGTTTGCAGCACCTGGGCCTCTGTTGAAACACCTCTGGCAATGCTGTTTGCTGCTTTCCTGTTGCAGTGACTTATTGCTTCCCCCTGATAAAGAGGTAGAATCTAGCCTCTTACCAGACAGGAAAGAAAGCTAGAAGATACCTCTGAAATGTCCTGAAGATGGTAAAAATCCCAGCCTTGCTCTGCTGTGCTCACAGAAACCTCCAGCACACCTTAGGAAGGAGACTGTCATGAGTTCTGAGCAAGGCATCTATTTGTTACGCATTTATGCGTGTTCAGCATATGCTGCTGCCCAGCATTATTTGCTGCGAAACTATATGAAGGAGATAAATCTATTTACCTTCAACATCAAAAGCAGCAACACAGAACATCTGGCAGCCTGAAACTTCCTCAGGAAGGTGCCACCCAGGAACTGAGCCACCACGGCAGGCTGAACCCAGAAAACAGCTCCTTGGTGTCAGGATGGGAGCTGGGGCAGCCACATCCGAGAACAGGTTTGCACCTTGTTTCCTGCTGCCCAGATAGCCTGCACTGCAGAAGGGAAAGGAGCAGCAGTCACGCAGGACTCGGTGCTGAGCTGCAGCTGCCTCCTCCACTTCCCTGGAGTACGTAGGTGACATTGCACAGGCCCCAGCTGGGGAGCTGGAGTGCTGACTTCTCTGGGCCGTTTAATTCCTTCTTTCCTTTGTCCCTTTTTCAAACAGGTACTAACTCTTCCTTTGAGCAACACCTTTAGTTACTACCCTTCTCCTGAGAATGTTAAAACACCTTTGTCTGGCATCAAGACGAACAGACACAACTCAGGTGGTCATTCTAGGGAACATGCAGCCATTATCTACTACAGGTTGTAAGACTGTGGCATTTTGTAGGAGCTAAATCTGTCCACTGCCTGTGCCCTACTCTTCACTCCTCCTCCTTTCCCATCTCCTTAGGGAAACTTTCTTTCACCTGATTATTCCACTGCACCCACTCCCCAGCCAGGATCTTAACCCCAGGCTCCATGGGCTGCCCTGTGCCACATCCTACCTGAGAGTCAGCACTCCAGAAGTGGGGCCAGACATGCCTACAGACCAAGCTGCCGGGGTATAAAGCTGCCTGAGCACAGGCTCACAGGGACAGGCAGTGCTCAGGGCAGCCTTGCCCATACGCTGCTTTGTATTTGAGTACCGCTGATTATCTCAGCACTTGTGGGCATGTAACATTTCAGCATTTGCCCAGTACTGTGGTGCCCTCTCCCACATCAACTCCTCTAAAAATCAGTTCTGATTTTTACCCCTGTTCTTTAAAGAAAGTGTATGCTTTGCTCTCAGAGGTTTGCAGTAGTTGGAAAGGAAGACAGAGCCTGCTGTACCTGCCAAGGGTTCTCACACTGAGATTATACTCACAGTAACGTTAGTTTTTATTCTGCTACTATCCCACCACACATATATATATGTATGAAATAATTTCAACCAAGTCATTCAGGTCTGTATTTATTAGTAAGCCTGTACACTGTCAATACTCATGACGATGCCTGAAAGAACGAACACTAATAGAACACAGTCTTCATGTACCAGATGCGAATTACTTCCAAGATTTTCCCAGTTAACATAAATATCCCGGACTAGTTTATAAAAAGAACAACACACATCTGGGGAATGCAGTCCAACATTACAGAGGGAATCACTTGGGGTTGCCGAACAGCCACAGGTGTATCAGTCTGATGCAGAAAGACAAGTGTTATTAGAGTTTCCCAGGAGACAGTCTCTCTTACAAGCCCAGTTTGGTCCTTCTCCAGTGTCTCCTTTTGGAGTTGTACCTAAGACAAAAGCAGTGTACATTAGCAAAGGGCACACATATTTGAGGACCCAGGTGGACTGAAAACACCTCGAATTAGCTGAACAGTAAGGGACTGAAATCTTCCTTATGTGCTAGACTGGGAAGCTGCCAACAATCACCAGCTCACACTCAGTTTTAGAATTTCCACCTCATTCACTGACCAACTAGCACATTACTGCAACAGCATCTAAACCTGAAGGAAGTAAAGGTGCCTGCAGAGATGCAGCACTGACACATGAATATCCTCCCTCCTCCTGTGATCTTGTATTGATTGGCCAAAGATAATGAAAAACCACCTCCTGAATGTAGTTCATAATCTAACACAAGAAAGTATCAGTTTTCTTCAAAATGTGAAAGCAGAGCAGCATATGGAAAGGCTCTCTTCCAGGAAAGTATATTAATTTATCAGTATGTACTTGTACCTGTTAAGAACAAACGGATTCACCACCGTACAGGTGAAACCAATGAGAGCATTAACAGAGTCTCTCTCAGCAGGAGAATGGCAATACTCCCACAGGAGGAAGCACTGCAATTGCAGCCTGCTTTAGCACAGGTTGGGAAAAACTGGTGACTGATGTACTGAAGAGCCACAGGGCAAATGAATTTTCGCCATGGAAAAGTACTCCAAAGAACTGCAGTCAGGTCACACAGAACCCCACTGCAAGCTGCTGTCTGGAAGACAAGGATACAGTTTGGGGCACACAACCCTGATTCTGCCTACAAAAAACCAAGAGAAGTAACAGGAATGGAACCTGGCAAGTCTGCGCCCTTTTGCTGCCTGACCCAGACACTGCTACTGTCACTCCTCACTACTCAGGACAAAAAACAACCTGGGAGAAAGAATCCTGTTCCCTTAAAAAGTCTAGATGAGGAAGTGTATGAGATAAAGTGAGTGTATGAGTTTTTATGAGATAAAAAGCCAGTGGCACAGCATGAGTGACCAAATGATCCTGGCTGAAGCTTCTAAACCAGAGGGCTTAGATATACATCACCTTTCGCATGCCTCACATTCACCCAGTATTTTACACTCCTCTCACTGCATTTTCCTAAACACAATGCTTGAAAACAAACACTATGGGCAAACGAAAAGGAACTGTCGCAAATTAATTCTGCAGTGATGAACCAAGGATCTTACACTGTCAATTTTATCTCGCATACATCCAACAAGCCTTTTGCTCCCTTACAAACTTCTGTATCTCAGAACACCCCTGCACAGTGAGGTACTGTTCCTTGGGATGCAGGATCGCAGAGGGACAGCTCTGAGCAAGGGGAAAGGTGTTGGAAAGGGGAACATCAGCAGCAGAGGCTACGAGGGTTTATTATCCACAAGGATAATAACAATCCATCAGGGTTAATTATCCACAAGTACAGTTCATGCCTTCACTTTAAATGTGCCATCACCGAACACCTGTGGATCCTTGCAGAGCACTGGAATGAGCTGGACTGCTACAGAAAGAACTGGCATGGAAGCTCCACACTGCCTCAAGAAAACACAACAGGCCAGCAGTAGCTGGTGGAGCTGTGGATCTGCACCGGCACGCCTGTATGGCATTCACAGCCACAGAACCGCACCGCTGCTTGCATAAACGTTTTTACACAACCGGCTTCTGACTGCAGCCCAGACGGCACATGCAGCCTGGCTCTGAGCCGGGGCGGCTGCAGCTCCTCACAAAGCAACAACCCATTACCTGATCTTATTGCCCGTCTTCATGCGAATCCATTGCGGGATAGGCCGGTTCTGCTTCTGCTTCTTGGCAAGGAAGCGTTTGATCTTGAACGTCTTGTGAGACGACTG